CATGCATCCTCCCAGGTTGAAAAGCATCCAGAACACGCTGATGTACCATCCTCTCTGCGTCAACAGCCACTTGACAAGTGGACCCCGTACCTCCTCCACCATCCCTCCCTCCCTCCCTCCCTCCTCTTCCTTCCTTCATCCCCGGAGTCTGACCCACTGTCCTCAACCTCTTCCTACCCTTGGATTGTCTCTGCTCCCCTCCTTTCTCTCCCTCCTCCCCTTCCTTCTCCTCTTCTCACCTTGTGAGCGGGAGCGTATGCCATCATGATGGCTCCTTGTGCCGTCCAGAAGCATCCTGCTCCGATCCCAAGCAGTCCTCCTGCTCCGTCTGATAAGCCAAGCTCCTCGCCCTCCTTCCTCCTCCTCCTCCTTGTACTCCTACTACACCTACTACACCTACTCTACTCCTACTCCTACTCCTACTATTCCCACTGAAACTACCTCTTCTACTATTCCCACTGAAACTACCACTTCTACTATTCCCACTGAAACTACCACTTCTACTATTCCCACTGAAACTACCACTTCTACTATTCCCACTGAAACTAATCCGACTTGCCTGCAAGGATGTAGAGCAAGCTGTATCCCGGTGAGTGTCCTGCCTAAGCGTTATAAGGGAGCTTTGACGTTCCGTGAATGAAATTGCTTGCTCATCATCATCATCATCATCATCGTCATCGTCATCGTCATCAGCATCAGCATCATCATCATCATCATCATCGTCATCATCATCGTCGTCGTCATCATCATCATCATCATCATCGTCATCGTCACCGTACCTGCAAGGTAAGCTGCCATCGCATAACCCGCATATGTCGTTCCTCCCAGGCCCACCAACAGCCTGCAATCCTCTAAGAGAAGGAAAAGCAAGAACGACAAGCAAGAGGCAAATTCTGACAAGACGAAACGGGAGCACGAGCAGGACAAGAGGGCACTACAACGGGGAGGAGCAGGAGCAGGAGCAGGAGCAGGAGCAGGAGCAGGAGCAGGAGCAGGAGCAGGAGCAGGAGCAGGAGCAGGAGCAGGAGCAGCAGGAGCAGCAGGAGCAGCAGGAGCAGCAGGAGCAGGAGCAGGAAAAATTGGTGAAGTCTGTGCTCACCTCGGCCCGATGGCGTTGAAGAGAGCACCTCCTAGCATGCCTGAAACCTGCACGTCCTCTCACTCCTCTGACTCCTCTGACTCCTCTGACTCCTCTGACTCCTCTCCTCCGCTCCTCCTGCTCTTCACCGCAAAGCAGAAGTACAAGGCAACCTGCTTCAAGCTCAGCAGAAGGATGAAAAGAAGACACAGAGACAGCGACTGGCAGGCAAGCAGGCAGGAAGGCAGGGTAAAGGGTAATGAAGTTTGAAGCAAGGAGGAGGAGGAGGAGGAGGAGGAGGAAGACGAGGTTTACGTTTGCAGCGTCATTAGCCGATGCCTCCGAGCTTCCTGCACCTCCAAGACCCTGATGGCACTTTGATCAGTCGATGCCGTGAAGGTCGCGGCCTGTCCCAACCCCTCTGTACATCATCTCCTCCTCCACCACCACCACTACCTCCTCCTCCTCCTCCTCCTCCTCCTCCTGCTTCACCGCTGCTGCTTCACCACTGCCACCCCATCCTTAACATCCTCTTCCTCCACCACCACCTTCATTGCCTTCTGTTCCAATACCTGAAGAGCATTGAAGAAGCCAGGGCAAGAGAATGCAACGGCACCTATCACAACCACTTGACCAAATCCTCCCCGTAGGAACGAGGTCGGTTTCTTAGCATCTTCCGCATCATCCCCTGCAAGTTCGAAACGTGATTACCCCTCACCTCCCTCCTCCTACACCTCCTCCTCCTACTACTCCTACTCTTCCCCCCCCTCCTCCTCCCTGCTTCCTGTCTTGTCCTCCCTCTTCCTCTTCTTCCCATCCTCTCACATTCCCTCTTCTTTCTCCTGTCTCATCCTCCCTCCATCTCTACTCCGCATATCCCTCCCCCTCTCTCCTCCCCTCCTTCTGCTCCACCCTCTCCACCTGCCATTTCCAGACGCATCAGCGGGTACCCCTACCCACTGAGACCCACAGATCATGTGTGAATATGAGGGGTAGTCTGGCAAAAATTTGATCAGTCGGAAGAGTCGCAACTTGATCCTACACGCACCAGATCTAGAGCAAACACTACCTAGAATCTAGAGCACTTCCTAATTCCTGTCCTAGATTTAGATTCAAGGCTAGTCTAGGCCCGGGCCCGGACTCGGTGGCAGGCTGGTCACCAGTCACTGAGTCCTATCAGTTCGTGCCAGCTGGCAGTCACGGTCGGTCTTTACTTCAACGCAACGCAAAGTTCGTCCACCTACGTCTAATCGTTTGACTTGTTCAGTCACGAGGAGCGCGAAGAGATGAACTTGTAGGAGGACTATGCAGCCTCAGCAGCCCGAGAAGCGGCGACTAGTTCACCGTGATGGGAGCGGCGAAGTGCTGAGGAGCCTGGTAGTACAGCTGCTGGGGCGCCAGGTTGGAGGGGAGAAACTGAGCAGGAGCTGACCAGAGCGCAGGAGTGACGTCATAGCGGATCTCAGGCTGCTGGAAAGAAAAGTCTGCTGTCTTGAACGTCTGAGATTCCACAGGGAAGAAATATTGCATTTCTTTGGCTGGCTGCACGACCTCCTGCTGGGGCTGGAAGTACTCTTGCCTGTACTGCACGACCTCCTGCTGGGGTTGGAAGTACTCTTGCCTGTACTGCACGACCTCTTGCTGGGGTTGGAAGTACTCTTGCCTGTACTGCACGACCTCCTGCTGGGGCTGGAAGTACTCTTGCCTGTACTGCACGACCTCCTGCTGGGGCTGGAAGTAGTACTGCTGGTTCACGTACTCTTGCCTGGGCTGGTAGTACTGCTGGTTCAGAAAGATCAGCTCCTGTTGGGGCTGATAGATCTCTTGAGGGATCTGTGCGACTGTGGGCGTCGTTTGCACAACCTCGCGGACACTGGTAGTGATAGGAGCGGGCTTGACGTACTCAGCAGCAGCAGGATACTGGAGGAGGCGTAAGGGCCTTTACACAAGCACAAGAGCGACCCACCGGCAAGGCAGGGGCTGGGCGGTTTTGTGCATACACCCAGCTCTGGCTTCTGACCCTCTGGAAGCTCTCGGTGGCACTGGTTCGACGCAAGTACCTGCAGCAAGCGTCAGACTAGCAGAGCTGCAACAGACAACATGGTCTTACGATGACGGGTTGCGAACTTGACCCATGTTTGTCAGGAAGATCCTGTACGCGTCGAGATTTTCCGACTTGGTATGGACGACTTCAACCTGATCGCTGTCAGCAAGTTTGCTATGACAGGCCGCAAGGTCTGTACCTTCTTCTCCTCCTTAGGCGCAGGCGATACAGGAGGAAGCGCGGCGCCAAGCTTGATTGGTCTCGGAGCCTTGACAGCCGTTTCGGCAGGCTTCACTGGAGCAGGAGCGGGAGCAGGCTCTGGGACACGCACAGGCTCTGGCTCTGGCTCTGGGGCTGGAGCTGGAGGCGGTGTGGATTCTTTCTGTGGAACAGGCAAGGGAGCATGCTTCGGGACGGGCAAGGAGGCCGAATTGAAGGCTTTCATGACAGACGGAGGTGGTGAAGAGACTGGCGCTGGTTGTGGATCTGGGACTGTCACAGGAGCTTGAACCGGGGCTGGAGCCGGGACGCTCTCTGGAACTGGCAGGGGCAAGCTGACAGGCGCTGGTTGTTCCACATTCTTGGGGCTCTCAGCAACTGCCACAAGGTGTCAGCCAGCGTGAGAAGCGAAGGGAGGCTTGTCTGAACCTCTCGTTGGCGTGATGCTCTGCGGAAGAGCAGGTGCGACCGACGGCATGATTTGAGGGTACGAGATCGTCAGCGTGATGGTTGGCTGGGGGTTGGCCTTCAGAGGTTGGCCTTGCAAGTCGTGGAGGACGAACGAGCCACGCTCGTACTGCATGCCAGGTCGGAGCTTAACCTGCGAGTGAATGAGTGAAGGCAGAACGGAACGGGGAAGGGCAAACACCGCAATCTTGCCGAGGAATTCATCTTCGTGAATCCTGTTCCAGTCGGTCACGGAAACGAGCAGGTAGACATCCTGTTGATTGAGATCGTGCACGCTGGAGAAGACAAAGTTAACAGTCAGAAAGACAATCAAGTAACTCAGAACTCACATGTTTCGGTCGGGGATGATGGAGTGCTCGAAAATAAATGATTCCTCAAACATCTGGCACAAAGAGTTCAGCTCTGTCCAACTAACAACAAAACTCACTGGATGCAAGTTGTTCTTGACTATTTGAGTCTTGTGCTGAGCGATAACCGTCGGCAAGTCTTGCCTGCAAGTCAAGAAGTGAATTCAACGAAACGGCAGGAGATTATACGGACGTGTTCGAACAGTTGCCATGACACAAATTCGTAGGGTCTGTGTCGACAAGCGTCATGGAGACGTAAGGGTCTGCCGAGCCGAAGGTATCCACCTTGTTGCGAACCAAGTAAGGATCATTGAAAGCAAGACAGGCGAAAGTACCTTTGGCAGATTTGCTGCTGAGTGAACAGTGACATAGACCCTGTAACCCATCGCTACGCTCTGAGGAAGCAAAAGCATGTCAATATTCCTACTCCACATTTCTAAATGAAGTTCCACTCTGTGTATCAGTGAGTCCCTGAATATACTTCATCCCTCTTTCCTCCACCGATCTCTCCTGGCTCTCCTCAGTACAACTCCCTCCTCACTCCTCCCTCCATTCATTCTCCGCGCTTTTCTTCGCTCAACGCGCCTCGTCATGCTTGACAACTCCGACTCGGTTCCTCCCGATCGACCACCCTACCGGTCACTTTTCGTACCCCTACCCACAAGTGCACCTCTAAAGGAACTGACTACCATCGGAATTACCGTTCACTACCCCCATCATTCACACGACTCTTAACTACCCCACTACTGTGACCCCACCAGACACTCAGACGCTCAGTCATCCTACCTCATGACTCATCATGGCATTTTCCCCCGGTGCCTACCCCACCCCACCCCAAGTACATCAGTGTCTTTGTCGAAGCTCCACCACACCTTGAGTACCCCTACCCACTCAAATCCAAGTTAACACCTGTGAATTTGACGAATCCCCGTGGGTGCTCAAGGCTCCGAATGGGGGCCGGGTGGGGGGTGGGGGGTGGGAAGGTGTACCCACTGGCCGTGTTCACCGGCGGAATCGGGGGCTAGCCTCGGACGTCACTGGTACCCTACCCCACCCCCAACCCCCCACCCCACCCCCCACCCCGCCGGCGCCGGGGCTTCAAGTAGGGGGCGCAGCAGCGGTAACGGTCAACCAAGGTACCCCCTGAATTGAGGTCAAAGAAGGGGGTACTCACATCCCCCGCTTCATTCACTGTCACATCATCATGGTGACCCACCCCACGGTGAGACGCAACATTGCGCTAGATGTAACCGGTGGTGTCACTCGGAACTTTAAAATTTTAACAGGTACTAAACTTGATCGGAATCAAGTTAACTAATCCTTGATCGGACAGGGCCCCGGCCGCAGGACTCCGGGAAGACAGTGGACCAAAATTCAACCTCGGATCACTCAACGGGTACTCAGGCTCACTTTGAGTAAAGGTCCTCACCGGCGTCGGCGAGTCAAACTTTCAAGGGCCGAGACTGAAGAAGGTCCGTCAGCCGGGCTGCCCGCGGCCGGGTGACTCGGAGACTTTCCGAGCAAGGCAAATGACAACTTCCGTGACACTGGCTCGGACACCGGGCTGAGCGCGGCAGCGGAACCGTCACGGGCCCGGACTCGGCGGCCCGCGGCGGCCGGTGGCAGGCTGGGCGGCCAGTGGCGCTCGGACACGCCAGCCGCTGAGTGCACACCCTACTAGTGACGGGTACACTACCACCGGTATCCTGAATGATCATGGCCGCTGATAGTATGAGAAAAGCTTCAAGTAGTAAGATACGCATTCCTCTCAGTTTTGCCAACCGTTGCGTTCCGAAGGCAAATGTGACTCACTGGAATCATTTTCCTGCCCCTTATTCCTTATTTCCCATTGAAGGTGAGCGATTCATGGACTCGGCGCCGAGTATTCATGATTCAGCCCCTTATTCCTTATTTCCTGTGACTCACTGGAATCATGAATACTCGCGGCCGAGTCGCCCCGGCCCGGCGGGACTCCGGCGGCCCAGGCTGCCGATGCCACTACTCATTACATCCGACTTGCAAAGGATCTTCCTTACGGTCAGCTCAAGGCCTCCCTGTCCTACTGAGTACGCTGCCATCATCGCGGGTGCATCTCGGTATGCGTCTCATCATCGAGTCGTTCCGGGCCGGGCGGCGGCCACCGTACGGTCGGCGCGACATCGCTGGCATGGCCGTGCGGGAGGCTCAGCTTGTCCTGAGCGCCGTTAAGTGAACTCGGAAGGTATCAGTTAAGTTTGGGGGACAGCAGTCGGCACTGCGGCAGGATTGGGTTTGGTTCTCGCTCGTACTGATTTTTAACTTAACTTTGAGTAAAGACTACATTACTGTAACTTAACTTTGAGTAAAGGGTCGGCAACTGTATTTCGCCGACAGTACTGACTCACCGTGAGCAACCTACGGCGACCCAACTTGAACAGAGTCACGCCCCCCGGAAGTCACGGACGGTCAGCTGACGCCGCCGTCAGCAGCTCGTGCGGCTGACTCACTGCGAGCCCCGGCTTACAGAAGCGACTGATGACGGTCACAGCCCTCCGTGATGCGTGCAGTCAAATCAGCCCACGTGACAGGCTAAACTCTCGAAATCACCTCATTTGGCTAGCCGTACCGAAAGGGACGCATTGCGGCCGTGACCCCTGCACAGGGGGCTGACCGTCAGCCTAGCTGCTTATTCGGAAGTCGAGACCGAGGCCCTATCCACCCCACCCCCTCTACATCAGCCCGAAGAAGTTTGTATGAGGTGGGGTAGTCCGGCGAGTCACCCCCACCCAGTAGTACCCTGACAAATCCAGATGAGAGGAGGGGTGGACAAGGGGTAGTAAAGATCCTCTTGGAGGAGATCTCCTGAGATTTATTGAAACCTTGTCTGCACAGCTACCGCATCCTCCCCGCACCCTCCCCGCACCCTCCCCGCACCCTCCATGTCCTCGGCGAATCCTTACGCTGCTCCTCCCTCCCCCCCCGCCTTGACCATCAGGATCGTCCAAGTCTCGCCATGGATGAATGCTCGCCCCTCGAAACCTCGCCGAATCTCTCCATGCGGTGCTGCCAAGCAGACAACGGGACCGCTCGGTGACCAGCTGCTTCATAACGTACTCGCAGCTAGAGCCAAGGTTCAGCCCATGGGCATAGAAAAGAGATAGCAAGAAGATGCCAGGAACAGAGGCATGCAAGGTATAGTGCAATTGTTTGAAGTTTATGGGGTGCAGTCAGGTGGATTGGACGAATGTAGAATATTGTTTGTATAATAAAAGAAGCTACGAAACGCAACAGAAAGACTTTTCTCTGCAAGACATTTGATGTGAACGCATGTAATGCTCTGCGAGAAAAGGTTGCAGAGATGCGATCGTATAGGTCACGCACTAATTAGGAGCAGTCTAGCAGGTACTGCGGGTGAGGGTGTTTGGCACAAGACTAGCACGAGACTGTGTTCCTTCTCCCGGCCATGTACTGTAATGGCAAAACACGCCATCGTTAAGCCGCGCAAGAGAAGAAGCTTGTCCCGTCCCTCAGTCGTCCGTGATACATCGGCTGTTACTCTTGTTCCTCCTCCTCTTTCAGGCGTCGCAGCATGTACGAGGTTCGTTCGAGGCCCCTCTCGACCTCCACGTCTTGGTCGTTCTCCTTCTCCACAGCCACGTCATCCCAGGACTTGGCAACCAGCGACTCCTCTGGCAGCCCCATCCCTGACGGCAGGATCTCCTTCTTGATCTCCGAAGCTGACGTTCGTAGCCTGCGTGCGCATGGGCTCAGCCGCAGCTTTCGGCAGATGTAACATGCTCTTACCTCTTGCCGGCGGGTCCTCGGTACCCGACGCTTCTCTTGGGCCCCCAGTTCTTCTCAGGGTTCTTGGGGTACAGGGGAGATGGTCTGGGAGGAAGCGAGCGAGGTCAGCAAAGAGGGGCAGGGGACGCTCCACTTACCTCCTCACGCTCCTTGTGCTCGTCCGGTTCGTTGCGTTGACCTCCGCAACGTCATCGTCGGCAACGAGGATGCCCTCGTGCAGATTGAAGTTCAGGTTCCGGCTGCGAGCAAGGCAAGGCATGAAAAGGCAGGATAGTAGGGTTGAGCACTCGCTGCTACAGACCATGAGGTTGTGTTGAGACGAGTCTTGTCTATCATCAGCATCTCGCTGTTCACAATGTTCGTCCCCGCCTGTGATGTCATCAGCAATAGTGACGATTGGCCATCCGAAGTGCCTGAGTAAGCCGGGAGTAGACGATTTGTTTCTGCTTGATCCAGGCTCGGATCAAGTCCCACAGCAGTGCCAGAGGAGCATCGGTCTTGATCGCCAAGGGATCTATGTGGGACGACGAGACGTTGTAACCTGCCATCTTGACCAGTGCGCGCAGACCAGTTATCTTGGGAGCGCTACATCGCACCACCTGATGACGTCAACACTTCAGCAGCCTGCGGCAGTGCCTCATGCATAGCATGCCTTGGTCATGGACGACAGTATCATGAAGAAGGGCACGTCAAGCTCAGCCTTCAGGAGGGTCAGGAGCCCGTCCAATCTGCTGTATGACGCCAAGTGACGCATATCTCGCTCAAGTATGCCCGCAATCTACAGGGCATCAGCATCAGACAGTCAGAACTGTTGCACTTCAGCGCATATCTCGACATCTCCCATCACCTCTGCTATGGCCGTCGCATTCTGGATGGGCCCAGTCCACACCGGGCCGCCGACAACGAACGGGCCAACCCCACAGCATCGACTCGCTCCCCTCTGCAACGCGGCGGCGGGCGGGCCGGTGGCACAGGAGATGCCTTTTGAGCTGGAAACCTCAGCCATCGGCTGGAGACTGTAGCTCTCACATCCCCTGCAGTGATAGACGAAGGCTGTGTTGGTGCAGGTGCGCTGAGCAGCATGGCGGTTGAGCCGCAGGCGTACGAAGACGCGGATGTAGAAGTCGATTGAGACTGACAGGACAGGCTCTGCCACCTTCCCTAACGAGGTTGCGAGGGTCTGAATTGTGTTGATGAGGATACGAATGGCCATCTCCTTGCTGTAAGGGGTGCGGAGGGGCATCGCGCTGTACCGCATGTAGGCCGCTTCAGGCTGCATGCCGCACAAGACTCTCATGTCCGTACAGGTCACACAGAGCATACCTCCATTCGCCATGGCATGCACAGCTGCCCCAAGGAGCGCTGATGGCGATCCGAAGGGGTCGAGGTCGATGGCCTGAAAGAAGTTTCCCTCGAGGACGGCAGCGAACATCACTTCCAGAGCATCCCTGTGGACTACCTGGACGAGGTTTGCGTCCACGTTCGAGAGGTTCAAGTTCTCTTCGATGGAGCTGACGGCACCCTCGTCCCGATCACTGGCGACGATCCGAGTGACGTTCGAGACCTCCTTGGAGTATCGGATGGCCCTGAGACCTGAGGCCGACATCGCGTCTAAGACCACCATCTCCCGTGAGAAGTTGGACAAGTTGTACCCGTGCTCCTCCAAGACTTCATCGGGAACTTCGACTTCCATCTTGCTTACCGACTGGTTCTGAGCTGCTTCCACAACTTCGTTGGCTGATGTTTGGTTCTCCCCCTGCTCCACTTCCATCGGCATGTTCGAGTTTCCTGCCGTTGCGTTCTCAGTTGACTCGACCTTGGTTGAGTTGTCCGACAGTTCGGAGTTCAGGTATTCTCTCAGGCATCGTCTCCTCCAACTTGCGCGGCGTTCCTCCAGGCAAGTGCTGACAAAATATTTCATGACGAGGACCGAGAGGTCCCTGTTGACTATCATCACATTGTTGTAGAACACGGTTCCATTCCGCACGTCGAACGTGGCGGACCCCTCATGCATGATGCTGGACTCACCCTCGCTCCCTCCCCTGAGCATCAGCGACCGAGCAAACGGGATTGCCGGGTTTCTTCTCAGAGATGGAGTGAGGGACAGCCTCCGTACGGTTGGCCGGGGCAACTGAGCAGGTCCAGTCCGTGAGCTGATGATTGTCAGCAGAAACAAGAAGCAAGGAACGCCACAGGCGCCCTTGCGTACCGATACCATGACGTGGAGAGGAGAGCGGGATGGGGCAGGAGAGGATCCCGTATGGAACGACGGAGATGATGAAAGGAGAGCAATGTAGAAACTGGGATGAGATTGGTGTGAGAGGAAGAGGCAAGAGAGAAGGACGTTGAGATGAAACGAAGTGTGAGGGACTGAGGGATGGAAAAGGCGGCCCAGGGTGACGAGGATCAGCAGCTGGTTTTACACGTACGTGTTCAACAGCGTCAACGCTGTTCTCTTCAACTTCCGCACCCACAATCTTGTTTGATTTAATTGGTGGTGGTGGTGGTGGTGGTGGTGGTGGTGGTGGATGAAGAGAAAGTGGGATGGTAGGGGGGGTGGGAGGCAAGGAGGAGTGGGGAGGAGGAGGAGGAGGAAGGGGGAGGTGGATCAGATGGGAGTGAGGAGGAGGGACAAGTAGGAGCAGGAGGATAGGGGGGGGGGGGGCGAGGAGGAGGGGGGAATGGGGGGGTTGGAGGAGGAGGAGGAGGAGGAGCAGGAGGATAGGGAGGAGGGGAGGAGGGGAGGAGGGTGGGGTTGGAGGAGGAGCAGAAGCAGGAGCAGGAGGAAGAGTGGGGGGTTTCTGCAGAACGAGACAGGACGGATCTATAGGGCCTCATCCCCGCTCTGCAGCTTTGATGAGTAATAAATATCTGAGTAAACATCGCCGTGACAATTGATCGCCCCGGCCCGGGCCCGGGCCCCGGTGCCGGGCGTCTCGGACTTGCCGGGGCGGGCATCCTCAGTGACTCACTTGACAGCCCTCATCCCCGCTCAATCTCTGGACAACATGAGGAAGCAGATGAAGAGCTCCAGATTTGACTGTCACATGAGCCTCAAGGTTGAAACGTTTCGATTTACAGCCTCGATCTTGTGGCTCTTATTTTCACGTACCCCTCCATATGAGTATTATCACCCCACCCCCATGGATTGCACGGGTCCTCTTTTCGCGACTTTACTGCAATGGACCCCCATCCCCAATTTTTTCTGAGAGGGTAGGGGGTGTTTTCAGAACCCCTTCTTTTAGTGGGGTAATGGGGGGTAGGTAATGGACCACCAGTACGTGGAGAAAGATGGGGAGCGACGCTGTACCAGGACAGCCACGAGAGCAGGATGAGGAGAAGATATAAAACAATGAGAGGCGGATGAGAGAGGAAGAGAGAGGAAGAGAGAGGAAGAGAGAAAATGAAGATGAGAAAGAGAGAGAGGAAGGGTGATGATGCGAGAGGAGAGAAGAACTAGACGGGAGAGTGAGATGAGACACAAGAGTGGAGGAGAAGACATAAGTGATGCATGTTGATGTGAATGGTTGCAGCAAAAGGGCGCTTACAATTATCATTCGTGATTTCAGAGGGCTCGGGATATTAGAGAGTAGCAGCAGGGGGTTCAAACAGAAACGAAACGAAACGAAACGAAACGTGGGTTTAATGGCCAGTGCGAGTTTGAGGATGTTTGTGAGATGGGAAAGCAAAATTGATGAGGTAGCAAACGGAATGGTGTATGCCTTGCTGAAAAACATCCGCATCTGATTGTGTACTGACCATCATGCAGACAGAAGCAAGATGGATGGATCAAGGAAAAGTCCCTCTATGTTGGTGCTCGAAGGAAGCACGATTGTGAGGAAGAAGGTGACAGCGACTGCCATCCTGAGTCCTCTCGTCTCATCCCCTTGCAGGCGAACTGTCTCATCCGGGAGCCTCTGCATTCGCCCAAGGAGTCCCTTCGCTACTCGCTCTCCTCCCCACATGGCTCGGACAGGAGCGTGCGGTGGAGCACAGCACATCTGCTTCCCTCCTCGCCCTCCTCGTCATGCTCTTCGAGCTCGGAGTAGGAGGGAAGGAGGAGATGAGGAGAGCGGAGCAGGGCAGGTTGTAAACTAGGAAGGAAGAGGAAGGGGAAGCGCCAAGATATCTTGTTAGAGTATTCCTAATGAACTGTACATTACGGGAGGCACTGGTTTCATTTACTTTGGGTGGGGTAGCACTCGATCTGGCGGACGGTGTCTGTGCGAAGTGATCAGGCAGATGAGGTGGAGGTCAGTCGACTTGCCTTTCTTGCTCTGGAAAGCCGGATGGTTGCAGATGAGGGGAGTGTAAAACACCAGAGCGTACCTGAGACCTGTCAAGAGGGCTCGAGGTGTGCTGGATGAGCTTACTTGCACGTAGACTTCTCCTTGATAGATGAGACAACGTTGAGACTGTTTGCAAAAGTTGTCATCCGTAAAGAACAGCACGATCCTTGCATCATCCTCATCCTCGTCTTCATCATCAACAACAACACGTCCTCCACTACGGAATAACATGAAAACATAATCATCAACCAGAGCAAGAGCAAGGAACACACCAAAAACAACATCGTCGTGAGCATCCATGACAAGTTGACATCTTTACCTGTCTGTGGCACACTTGAACTGAACTTCGACCTGCCGAGGTTCGCCTGTCACGTCGCAGATAGTGCCCTTCGTGTAGGTCTGCGGGTCGACGTAAGAGCCAGGCAGAAGCATCGAGAACAGCGTTCCTGGGAGTAGAAGGCAGAGGAATCCTTTGAAGCGTCATCGATGTGGATACTGCGGAACAGAGCGAGTAAGAGCATGCATTAGTGTGTCGCAACAGCACTCACTTCCCCGAGTCGTCGACGATCTTCGACTCCTCATGGTATAATCCTGCCCAGCAGCTCAACTCCTCCTGCACCACCGCCGCCACCAGCACCACCAGCTCCAGCACCACATCCCCCTCCTTCTCTGTGGTAACTTACCCAGCATAAACTCAGCTGTGTTGACGCTATTCTCCTGGTGAAACTGCTTCAAGTGCTTCTGCCATCATCACAAGCTCCTGTCAAGTTTGCGCGTCCCCTCTGCTCCTCCCTCCCTCACTTGGTAGCAGAACTCGTAAGTCCACCAGCCCTCAACGCGATAGAAACAAGTCCCCGAAAGGCCAACAAGGTAGTCCGACACCTGCCGGGCTTGTCATTGGACTCAGTATCCGCTGCTATCTCACTCTTGGCTTCACATGTGAACCAGCATGGGTGCCTCCAGCAAGCAACGGATGATCGCTGCAAGATGCCTTCAGCTGGACTCATGTGCAGGAAATTCAGACCAGAGCAGCGGGGTTGCGAAGACGATGGTGTAGCTGCAAGTGGCATCCTCCTGGAAAGGGAGATAGAAGGGAGGAGGGGGAGAAGGACAGAAGGGTTGTCGATGAGAAGCCATCTGAGAGTGAGGAAAACATGGTCTGACCTTCATTGATTCGATGTGGTTTTCCTTCCCTTCCACGCATCGATACAACACAACGGCATGTCGTGGTCCTGGGATGAGAGTGAGTGGCTGAGCTACGACCAACACAGAGAAGGAGTCGAGGGGAAGGGTTGAGATGAGACCGGGGAAATGGGATGGGGTGGGGGAAGGACTACCATTCGTCTCATCGCATCTTGTTCCTCCTTCGAAATAGTGCTTTACGACAGAGGAATCCATCTGACCAATCAGGTCAACCACGGACCGTCTCTTTCCCAGCCCTCCACATCCTCTGTCTCCTTGCCCCCCCTCCCTCGCACGTCGCTCCTTTCGCTACTCACCGTGTCTTTGCTGACAACTTTGGGCACAACGGCTGTAAAATCAGGTGAGTTCTGATGTTGCTGGTTCACCCCTGACCTCGATCGAAGTCTCCAAGAGAGTACTCGACCGTCGTCTTCCTGCCATCAACGTCACACCCAGTCCGAGCATCCACGGCCAGCCGCTACCTCGCCTCCTCGTGGAACTGCCTGATCTTCTTCCCATGGCAGAGCTGCAACGAGCATCAGAGGTACCCTCCGTTGCCTTCGACTCAACCTCAAAGTTCCAGTAGCCGTCCGGACGGAGGAAGCATCGGCCAGTGAGGGGCGCGAGGAGGGAGTCAAGGGACGGCAGTTCCTGCTCGCTCTTGGCGTTGATATCAGCTTGCTGTCGACACGCGTGAGGAAGAGGCGACAAGGCTAATCCTGCGCTCTGACCTTCTTCTGCTCCTCGACATGCTGAGCATCCTGCTCCTCAGTCGTCTTGCTCGGCATCACGCAGTCGAACTCTTTGCCATTCTTGTCCTTCATCTTGACATAGTCCGATCGATGCGCGGGCCTTGCAACGTTGTGCGTGATGACGGTGTACTTGACGTTGGGGATCTCCGTTCCCTGCTCGACATCCTGTTGGGGTTGTGCTGGGGTTGTGCCCAGGCATGTCTGGGGAGCAAGGAAGAAGACGGTGAGGGCGGTCAAGATGAACGCGTCGCTGAGCGGATCAACGAAGGAGCATCTCCACCGACCCATGGACGCCAGCTGCTGTTTCATCGAAAGTGACGCGTCAGGGGAAGGGGGGCGATGACAGGTTAGAGCATTGAATATCTTACTGAATATCCTATTGGATATCATCATCATCATGATCATCATCATCATCATGATCATGATCATCATCATGATCATCATCATGATCATGATCATCATCATGATCATGATCATCATCATGATCATGATCATCATCATCATCATCATCATCATCATCTGACATTCTTAGCTGAATCCTCCCTCTGTCCATCCTTCTTCGCTCTCCAACACAGTTTCTCCCTACTTCTCAATCCTCGAGTTCCTCATACATCCTCGAGTTCCTCATACATCCTCGCTCTCCCCTTCCTCCCTTCCTGTCGTGCTGTGTGATGTTGAGCTGCCATGGTCACACTAACTTGCAACCGTCTGTAACTGTTCAAAATTTCGCAGTGCCCGCCGGCCCCAGGCCGGCCCGGCCGCCTGGGGCGCCCGGGACCGGGCGCGGCCCGGCCCCGAGACGGTCGGACCGGCCGCGTGGTCCGCCCGGACAGTCGGTGCCTCCGGCTCCGCCTGCCGCAGGCTCAGGCTGGCACGGGCGGCCACCGCCCGTCGGAGGATTCGCCCAGACGGTAGCCGCGGAGAGGGCTGTCACCAAGTCAAACGGTGCCGATCGGACTGCCGCAGTGCCGCTGCCAGTGCCGCACGGACCGTACCGCCAGCCGCTGAGCCTCAGCGGGCCTCGGAGTGGCACGGCTCAGCTCTCAGTGCGGCTCGGAGTGACGGTCACGCTGATCGGACCGTACCGTACGGTGCCAGGGGGCCGACTCAGCCCCGAACTTGACTCCCCGGCGCCGCGGCGCCGCAGCGCAGTGACGCCGGGCCCGGCGCGGCCGCCGCCGGCCGCACCGTGGCTTTACGGATTGAAATGAGTAGTACGGGTCCTTTGAATGCTGAAAAGTGGGTGGGGGTCATCTCTGAATGGGATTGGGTGGGTGTAGAGCAACGCCGGGGGTACGACGAACAAGTTCAATCTCCTAGTACCTCCTGGGATGCCTGAAAGGGGGTAGGTTTGTGAGGGTGATAGGGGTGGAGAATTAACGGGAGGGGTGGTAAGGGAAACCCTCCCGGTAGTATGTGTTCAGGGTCGGGTCAGGGCGTGTTTCGGGTGTAGGGACGGTGAAGGGGTTATTTGTACCGGGTTATAAAGCTTACTGTGAACTGAGGGGAAGGTGGGTAGTGAGATAACTCAAGGGGGTAGGGGTAGAAAGAATCCGGGAACAGGTGGATGAAAAGAAGGAATCGGGGAGACATATGGGTGGTACAAACGTGGGGGTGGGTAGCGGCTATCTACAGTAGGGGTGTATTAATGTGGAGGAGGGGGTGGGTCGTCCAACGGACGTACAGAACAGGAGCTTGTACTGTACCCGTCCCTTAGACTGAAATAGTACCGGTATTTCAAAGAGAAATCGAACCGGTCCATCTAACTTATCATTCAGGGGTGGGAGCTGATAGTGAGTTTCCTACTACCGGATAGGCTAAAATTGGTTGTAGTGGAATAGGACCCTGTATGTAGGAATTTGGAGGGGGTGGGGTGATGATTTAGGGGTGGAAGGGTACTGCAAACGTGTAAGCCGGGGTAGTGTACGATCAATGTGGGGTACATCAAAATATGTTTGTATTTTTTTCTATCTATGACGGGGTATTTTGATATAAAATATGTGGTGTGGGTTTGGACTAGGGGGTAGGGGTCATATTGTCCACGGGAGGCAAGGCCTGCAAGGTAAGCTGATAGAGAAGGGTCATTGCGTAGGGTGGGGTTGTGGTTTGCTATGGCGGCAGAGCGAAATTTGAAGGAGGGCAAAGAACTTGGCAGCAAGTAGAAAAAGAAAAGAGAGGGGGAAGGAGGGAGAGTTCAGGAAGGAAGTGAAAGATTATGAATGTGCTCACGAATCAGGAGAATAGTAAAGAGTAGAACGACATAGAAGGGGACAATCAGGGCTGGAAGTCAGTGGGGAATGGTGGATGAAGTGTTGACAATACAAGCAGAAGAGGAATCAAAGGAAGGCGAACATGGACGAACAGCAAGAATAAACATCGTTTGCAGAAAGCTTGAGTGGAGAAGTAGTGAATGATACGAATCAGAGCTAGGGTAAAATTTGTACGGTCTGTGTGACTCCAGCAGTTTCATCAGGACTAAGTGTAGGAATACCATGAGAGCATGGTTGTCAGGGTCAATCTTAGACGATTATCTTCATTTGTGGAGTCAACAACAACAAACTCGATCAGAAATCAGAAGGGCAGGAAAAGAATTAGCGTACATGCCTCTGATTGTTATGTGGGGAGGTTCTTGACTTTGCGCCAACACCTGCCCGACTCACGCTCACGGCCTGGCAATCTTTAGTTTCTGATAGGGGAGCAGCCGTGATATGCATGTAGCTTGTGTAGATTGAGAGAAGGTTTCAAATACCGCTCCATGGTAAAAGCTAAACTTGAGCAGAATCAAGTCCCTGAGTGGGAGGTCCTCAGTGTATGGGTGTGTGCTAGGTGATCATATTCCATTCCGATCGATGAAACTCTGAATAGAAAGGCTTGCTAGACTTGTTGTATCATATGGAAATTACATATAGTTGATTTCTCTTACACATTGATCGATTTGTCTTGTTTCACCTCCTCACTCCCCCAGTGCCTGTTCGGCCTCATCGGTTGTTTGCATGTGCATGGGTGTTGGAATGGAGAACAAGTGTCTCGAATGAGATATGTTGAATACGATGCAAAGCTATGAGAGCTTTGTCTGGACATCGTGTTGATCGGCCTAATGCTGTTTGTTCCAGCTCGTTTCTCTTGTGTGTCAAGCTCCTTGTTTGGAGCACGTACTTGTCGGCTATCCCTCTCGGAGCGAATGACACTGGTTCAAAAGAGGACTAATGCTTCCGATGATCGATAGACAGGTTGGTACCTGAACTGTAGGTCTGAGAATCTCACTCTCTTCCAGCAGACAGAATGTGACTCTGCAAACAAGAATGAGAGAGGGTTAGAACCTCAGGTCGAAGGGGCGGTGGAATCCATCAAGGACTGGTCTCAATCACAGGATGTAAACGATCAGCATATCTCTCAGAGCATGGCGGTGCCTGAAAGAGAGTCCAAGGCGAATGAGGAACTGGGTTCTTCCGCGGTGCAGCTCATTGACTGTGAGCAAACAGGTTGGTGGATGTAAAGAAATTTGTGATGCTTTTGTTGATCGTTTCCCGTAGCAGAGGATGTCTTGTCCAACTTTCCATTCCAGCGAAAACAGTCTATGATCTTGTACGTGGCACCGGCGGAACCGATAAGGGATAAGAAGGGAAACACTAGCAGAGGGACAAATACGGGGCCAGGAGCCCATTTGCCATGTGCACTGCAGGAACGAAGGGGGTCGGACGATATCTCTTTCTGCATTCCCAGTGCTCCTCAGATGGGTCGTGCGTTCATGCAACGTCTGCCCAGGTTGAGGCTCCCTTGTTGGACTACAAATCTCTCACTCCCTTTCTCCAGCATCGGTATGGACTGCACCCAGCCTTATACTCACCAGGCAGGGGGTGCGCGAGAGCTGAAACGGTTTTCCAAAACCATCGTGGCAAAGCCGTGCAGCTCACGCGAGGCCTGGTTTTACGAGACAGTAGCTTCAAGGTAGCCATGGATGGTGATCCCAGACCTTTCCGCTGACTCTTCACAGCATGAATCCTTTCACTCCTGAGTGCCATGGACTGCGAAAAGGACGAGATGGCGGCAGCGCGGCGACCTTGATCTTGCTCGAAGACTTGACATTGGGCTTCCGATGCCCGTAAGCCGAATTGTAACTGAGCTGGTGGGACGTTAACTCGCTCGTCAGTTGCGTTCTCGACGTCAAGATGGGAGTGTGTACTGCTGCACCTGACCGAAGTGAATCGAAACGACTTTCTTGTGAAGCAAAGGATAAGATCACTACAACTGGAAGCATCGGTGCTAGAATCTGTGGGCTCCGAGTCTACCAGGTGCAAGTGCTTGTCGGAATTTTGCTGGGCTGACGAAGTGCAGGTCAAATCACACGAATATAGAATGCTTGACAAACATTGGGGAAAGAATTTAACGTTCCAAGATTTTAGTGAAGGCATGCAAAGTATGGCCAGTTCTACTCTGCAACCAGTTGTCTTCCTTATTTTCTCTTGTGCAGTTTTCTTTAATAATGGAGTGCGAATCAGAAGACGAATAGCGCACAGGATGTTGGAATTACTGAAACCGATAGCTAGGATGATGGAATCTGTCAAGTACAGGTCAACTGAGCTAGGCGCCGCCTTGATCGCTGATATCTTTGTCAGATTCTACGCTAGTTCCATCCTCTTCATCTATGAGGGCCTGGAAGAACACCCGTCGGACGCTGGGGTGGATGAAATGGAAGAACCAGCCCACGAGGATCACATTGAATCGGACGCGCAAGTGGTGGAAAGCATCGACCCTTCCAAGAATGTGTCGCAAGGGCAGCATACGGATGCAGATCCGAACTTCGATTCGGCTAAGAATGCTGAGTCCATTCAGAAGGAGGTAACGATAGCCTTGTGCTGTTGGGCCATAGAGGGCGACCTGACAGTTGGCTGGGACAGAATCAGGGGCTGTATGCGCGGATTGACGAGAATGCGAGGATAGAGGCTCGTATGATTGACTTCGCTCATGTGTTTCCGCTGGAGGGCACCATCGAGCACAGGTTGCGCCCTCCCTCTTTCTGCAACGTTTTGATTGATACCTGTACAGGGATGAATCGTACCTGTGTGGTCTAAAGAACTTGATGGCTGTGCTGGAGGGCATTGGAGATGGGCAGGAGCCATCGAAGATCAATGTGAGAGAATGAGAGCAAGGAGGACAAGGAGGAAGTGAAGAATGAGAGAAGTGAAGAAGAACAGAAGGAAGGAGTAGGGAAATTGTGGAGGAGAGGAAGAGGAGAGAGGAGAGGGATGAGGGGTTCTGACATCTGCCTTAGATTCACAACTATACCAATGATGCTCGACTACATCGGCACTGCTTGTATCCCACCCTCGTCGTGCTGCTCGCCGCTGACCGTCTCCTCCAGGTGCGCGAAGGGCCAGTCCGAGCGAGAGGCTCTCGGAGTCCTGGACTCACGTACCTTCGGTAAGGAGGAGGAAGCAAAGTTGTGGAGGTCTTGGGGGGTGTAACGGAAGAGGAGGACAAACGGTGGTTAACTGACGGTTGGTTCAGTCAACGACATTGAGGAGAATGAAAACAGAGACTGTTCGACTCTCCTGCCATAATCCTGGTGATAACTTGACTTAACTGTGAGTGAAGAAAGGAACTTGCCATCAAAGCAAATGGCATCATCTCCGCCGGGCTACAACCGGCGATTGACGACCGCCACCGCCATGCGGCAGCCTGCTGACTCAGCAGACTGAGCCGCCGCGGCTCGGCCCGGCGTGAAAGGCCTGGGCTAAGTTGCAATCTTCAATCAGCCTGCACCGTAAGAACTGGGTTAGCGAGGGGTAAGATTTGTTGTCTAAGTTATCAAGAATCGGAAAGAAAGGTTTTTATATGATGTATCACTATCACTATCACTATCACTGTCACTACCTCTGTGATTGATCGCTGTGATGGAAGTGGTGTAACGACGCTGTACCTGTTACAAAGCACTCCACTGTTACCAAAGTGACGCGGCTCTGAGCTAGCCGCAACTTCGGCTTGTTTGATTCCCATCGCATTCTCCCTTGAACGAGCGGTCATCCGCTACTCGTCTCTTGCTCTCTGCTGCTTCTTCCCATCCTCCTTGTCTCTCTGTCTTCCAACGCGTCAAGTTGACTGGGAGAATGTGTTGCTCGCCAGGACCGCCCACGTCAACCTGTGGGTGGGGTACATTTCAAGGAAAATAGGGGGTAGAGGTGGTGCGAGCCGTTGGGTCGCGGTCGAGTCAAGATAATGCCGCAGTTTCGGCGAGGAGGGAGGGAGGGAGGGAGGGAGGGAGGGAGGGAGGGAGGGAGGTAAGAGATGGATGCGATGACGAAGGATGTGAAGGAAGGCCAAGAATATAAGTGAATGTGAAGAGTGAAGACGAGCAGAGGTCATTCACAATCAGAAGACATTATTGACATCTCTACACATCTCTACCTGACATAGACTTATCTCAGCCGCCATGGCGCCGTCGTTCGCTAGGAAACCGTCGTCAAGAGTCGCCACAGGGAGGACCAACAGAACTTCGCATTCTGAGCCGAACAGGTTCTGTTGCACGCTCTACTTCAGTTGTTGCTAAACCTCCTCCTCCCATGCAGCCCTGCCGCTACTCCTGGTGGAGATACTGTCGGACCGAGAGGACAAAGCAGTCAAGGACGAGCTCGACCTTCTCCTCTCCCTCTTCCAGGCTCGCAGAGCTGGAGAAGCAGGGATGACGGCAACGAGGGGAGTGTGGGAAGTCGAGGCAGGAAGAGCATCGTCAACATTCGAGATCGCATCGCCAACGAGCTCAAAGACAAATTCGACCAGCACATCTTGATAGACAAGTACTTTTACACTTCTCTCCTCCTCCTTTCATCTTCTTCTCCGCTCACGCTGCTCCTCTCGTCTCCCCTCACCGTGTTTCGTGACTTTTCTTACCCCTGCTTACCTGCTTCTTTCTCTTCTCTCCTCCGTACCTCGCCCTCCCTTCCTTCACCCTCCACTCCCTCCTTATCCTCCCTACCGCGTCCTGCCTTCCTTCCTGCTCCTCTCCCTTCTCTCTTGTCTTCCCTTCCTCCCCGCGGCAGGGATCGTCCAGAGTTTTGCCCTCACGCTCTGGCAGGCTCTACGATAAAATCTACCGCAACACATCGCGAACCCGCGAGGCCTTTCGGAGCTTCGACCCGGAGGTCAGTCGAGCTTGCAAGGGAGGAGCAGGAGGGAAAGGGGGAGCAGGAGAGTAGTGGGTTCAACGAGGGAGAGAAGAAGCGAGAGAATCTGGTTCAGACAGTGGGAAGCGAAAGGAACATAGGTAGGAGACGGGAGGAAATGAAAGGAAGTGAAGGCGGTGATTGTGAACGAGGAGGAAGAAGAGGGAGGAGCGGCATGGAAGGAGAGGGAAGGGGAGGAGGGGAAGGAGGAGGGGGCTCGGAATGACACCGGGGGCAGGGGAAGGGGAACGTTCCGCTGGAGCAATTCTTCCAGTCTGTGGGCCTGCGGTACAACATGATCTTCTCGGAGCGAGAGAAATATCTTCTGCGTGCGTACATGGACAAGAACAAGGATGGCACGATAGACTACAAGGAATTTCTGGACCACTTCGACCATCCTTACAACGTCTACCACAAGGCCGTCCAGCCCGACCTCCCTCCTCCTCCCTCCGCCCCCCGCACCTCCCACAGCAACAGGGTGAGGTCGAGCCCGAGCTACCCGGCCAAGTCGCAGAGATCGCAGAGGGCGGAGGAGGAGGAGAAGGAGAGGGACGCGCTTGTGCGGAAGATCCGGCAGAAGCTGTCGGCAGGGAACAAGCGGCTGCAGCGGATTTTCAACCACATTGACGACAACGGGGACGGGTTCCTGACGGCATCTGAGCTGAAGAAGGGCCTCAAGGATATGGGCTTCGAACTGAACGAGCAGGAGCTTCACTTCCTCGTTGACTTCGTTGACTCAGGAGGGCTAGGGAGGAGGAGGAGGAGGAGGAGGGAGGAGGAGGAGGAGGAGGAGGAGGAGGAGGGAGGTAGGGTTGGGAGGGGGAGGACGGAAGGGAGCG